TTGGGCAGCTAACTTTGTTCAGATTATAGAATATGTGCCTGACTACAGAAAGAAAAGAGTTATGTATTGCTCATGTGCAAGGTATATATGTGCAAGGTATATTTTTTCCTCTTACAGCATCTATCAAATCATTGGAACTTTTACTGATGGTCAGTTACAGGCAAGATGGGACTTTGATTAGGCTGTAGAAATGCCTTTTTTATCTTTGCCTGCTGTTACCTCCAGTCAGCACAGACTTCCGCCTTGACAGTTAACAGTTTTCCTGGTCTATAACTATGTCTGAGCTAATAGTGGAGTCACATGACTAAACACATCAATTTTTAAAAGCTTTTTGCTAAACAACCAGGAGAATTGTATTCTTCTCTTATTGAAGATTCTCCTTCATTTCCCCCTTTTCAGAAATCAGCAATATCTTTATGGCAAATATTTGTTTCTGCAGGAGATTAAGAAATGCTTCAGAAAAAGGTACAAAGATTTCTGCCTTCAGATTAATTTACAGTTATTTCATTAGGGATGAACTTAGATTCCTTAGGGATATACTGTTCTGTAGGTTTTGTTATTAAGTGATTTGTTTCTCTGGTTGTAAAAACATGTATGACATCTTTGTAATTGCATATTTTCATTATACTTAGGAGTGGGAGTTTCTAAAATAGGAAGTCAGAACATATACATGTAAGGAACAGGAGTAAGGGAAACATCTTTCGAAACATAATGACTAAAGATCACATGTGCCCATTCAGTTTCCAGATTTTCTGTGCTGGACTTTGCAAACTGTTATTATCTTGCACACGTGAATAATAAATGCACATGTGTAAGTCACTACTGAAAATCGTCTTGATCTGTTTTGCAGAAGACAGAAATGAAGATTGAGATCTTTTTCAGATGTGCTTTGATGATGAGCTGTGTTCTCACGAGTCATGAATATTGAACAAAAGAATTCAAAAAAGCGGTATAGGTTCAGATACTTTGTAATAGGAACTCATTGAAAGCTTTATTTTGAAGGAACCTTGTCCTCCGTGATACTGAAGGCTCCTCTTAGCCAACCTTTAATGACTGGAGGTCAAGATCTTGTAATCCATAGGATTTGAATCAAAGCAAAGAGTACCTTTTTAATGTTTTACAATTTCTGCCTCTAAATTGTCAGCAAGGAGGCTATTGTAATTTATTTTTCAAGTATGTTACTTGTAATATGTTATAAATGCTTTATGTAAGATTTTGGCAGACTTCATCATTTAGCAATCTACTCCAATTACCAGTAGGTTTTTCTTCAAGTCTCTGGTGTCTTCAGCCATGATTTTAATATCTGATAATGAGCTAGATTCTAGAGAGAGGTATAGCAGTATTCATGAAAAGGGGGTGAGGGTACTCACTCCTGAGACAGTACTCTTATTGCCAGAGAATATTGACTGAAAAAAAGGAAAAGTTTAAAAAGTTCAATCAATGTGTCTTACTGGGGACATTCACAGTCTGGCTATGTAGTTTTAATATGCATGAGAATAGTGTAATTTAGGAACCTTGGTTGTAGTACATTTCTTTTGAGATAGCTGCTTTATTTGAAAAAAAAAATCTGACATCATAATGCTCTTTAAGAAAAGAAACATTTTTAGCTACTCTCAGCTGATTTAATCTCTTTTATATGTTCTTGGCTAATTGCTTGAATGCATAGGTTTTGTTACAGCTGCCTTTTTTTTTCTAGAATGAGTGCTTTGGTCAGATATTGGTACTGAATAACAGTAAAATAGCAGCAGTCTTGTAGCTTCAATGACTGACAGGTGTTGATTGTAGGATGACACATCATTGCTTAATGAAAGCCATGGACTTCTCCAAGCTCAGAGCAAATCACTGTGACTGAAGAAGATCAATCTTTTAAAAGTTTGGTGTGTATGTAGTTTTGTGTATATGTATGTTTTGTTTATTTTAAGGATCTGCGTTAGGAAGGATTTAGGATGTGTGTTCAGCACTACCTAATTGGATTACTTAGCCAAATTTATACCACTTTGCTAGCAGTAAAGGCAGCTAGTATTGTAGTTGCAAAAATAAATGAAGATATGTGTCCTTGTTCGTCTTTCCTTCTGCAGCTGAAGTGTATGCTTGCCGGCAGCTCACTCTGCTTTGGCATTCCCGTGCTTCGTGAGCGTATTGTACTTGTCAGAGAGAAAAGATGGATAAATATAAACTCTCAATGCAATACCATGTTAAGATAGATGGTTGTCTGTCTTGTACATTATACTTATTCAGGTGTGCCCTTTGCCTCTTGAGAAATAAGTTCCTGCAACTTCCTTCATGTGAATCCATTTTTTTTTCTGCATACTGTGAAAAGTAATATAAAAGTAATTTCCAAGGTTAGAGAGATACCCTTTTATATTTTCCCTCTCGCTTCTGAAGCATTCACCAGTGGATAAATCTTGACTCTTGAGCTTTTTGTGGGAGGAGAAAAAAGAACTGTTGCTGTAAGTGGGCTGGAAGACAAGTGGCTACAAGTGGCTTTCCTTAGGGAAAAAAAAAAAGGAAATTTAAGTTTCCTTTTAATTAAAGGATTAAATTTCTGCTGGACTTGGAGAAACCTCATCTGTCATCATATCATCATATGATCTGTGCAAATTGCTCAGCATACTCATGTAGTAGGGAAGGAGTAGGTAGTGATTCAAATTATTACATAGTGTGTTTGTGCTCTGTAGATTGTTGGTGTAGGAGGAGAGGAACAATAAGATTTGCAAGTATTCCCAGTGTTGAAAATGAGTTACTAAGCAGTATACACACCAGCTTATTGAAGCCTGGAGACTTGGTGCCATCTACTGGTGCCAATACATTCTCACTAATGGAGGAAGTGAGTTGTAAAGAGCCCACTCATATGTCAGAATTTGAGTTGTTGCCATTTTTAGAGAGTGCACTTGCAGTCTTTACATCCAATTAAGTGGATAAAATAAATTGCCAAAAGGTTATATATGTGCTATTAGTTATAATTTGGTTTACTAAAAGAAAGGTCAATGCTGAACCCTATTTCAATCTCCTCAGTTAAAAGAAATTTTATAATAGTTTCTTTTATTAAACAGTGCTTTGCAAACACAGCAGGGAGAATTCTTCTGAGGTTTACATTTTTTTCACAGCCTCTGAACATGTATTTCGTACTGCTTTCTCTGCTGCACTTTTATTTTTTAAGTTAGTATAGTAACACTCACCATGCTTGAAACAAAAGACTTTGTCTGGGGCCAAAGCAACCACAAATATGTATATTTTAATTATTATCTTATGTCTTAAGTACATGTCCTGTATCTAACTGAGATCAGACAACAGATTTAATACTCTTACTGTTCTCTAGAGTATCCAATATTGACCTTATTAGAAACTAAAGTAGGGCTACGATTAGTTCTGTAGTCCTCTTGAAATACATTTCTGATTTAGACAAATTGGTGTGGTAAGTTGAAAGCATTTGCAGAAATGCGAAATACTAACTTTTTTTTGTATATTTTTATTCTTTTGTATTTAGGCCAGACCGCATTCTTTTAAGTTACTGCTACAGTTGAAGAAAAAAAGTTTAAACTAAATCTCTAAATCAGTTAACAACTGATTAAAAGAATAAGCTATTTTTGTATTCTAATCAAACTAGTTGCTGAGGAACAAATTGAATGGATGCATGGAAAGTACTTGCTTTTTCCTTCAGCTGTGGGTTTGTCTAGGTTTCATTTGTGTGCAGGTACTAGCAAGTATATTCCAGACTTAAGCTCTGAAAGACTATTCCACAGTTCTGTAGTTGATGGAAATTATACTGTTGTCATTTTGTTGTGTTGTTGTCGTCGTATCAGTGACTTTTGCTGTAATGCTCCTATCTTTATGGAACAAAGTATACTTGCTATTTCTATTATTGTTCTCTTTCTCCTGCTTTATGATCTTAATATCTTTCACTAATGTATTAAGCAAAATTGCTTTTTGTCACTCCATGTGTAACTTTCTCTCAGGCCTTTTTTCTGTGTTATATGTGCAGTGTATTTCTGCTTTTTAACAGAACAACAGTATTGTGGAAGAGGGGAAAAAAAAAAGAAGGAATGTTTATCTTTTTGAAAGGGAGCACAGGCACCTTTTAGTGGTTTATAAATACTTTGGCAGTCACCACAGTTCTGGACTTTTAACTTCCCATTCTGCTTATTTTGCTTTACAAAGCCAGATGCAAATAAGAGTTGTAGTTTGATAATCCATAGATTGGACGGATAGCATCCCTCCCCCCTTTTTTTATTTTTTTGAAGTACCTAACAAAAGGACACCTGCACAAACCTGCTTTGATTTAGGTTATTATTGTTTCTCTGATTTCAGTCAAAGTGGTTAACAATGAGTATGCTAAAAAGAGATTATATGTGTTGCATTCAAGTTTTTGCCTGATAGTCATGAAGGTTTCATGGTACCATAGTATCTATCATTCCTTCTGCAATGTAACAACAAAATCAATAAATATAGACAGTGCTTTTTATTTTTGGGATAGGAAGATGTGAGCAGCAATATAGCTTACTTGGCTATGCAACATCGTAGTTTATTTTGAGTGAATTAACTGAGTAAAGAATAGCTTTTCTTGTCAAGCTTCGTATTCATGTGCAATGATATTTGTCTGGAAAGCAATGCAAACTGTGATTTTTATAATATTATATCTTAAAATATCTAGAGATTCTGGAAATATTTCATATTTTCTTCAAAGTATTTTTGGAAATTAAGAAAGAGAGGGCAGATTGCTTTTAAATGTAACTTGGAAACTGTGAATAAGATGCTCCAGGCTGTGGTGCATCTGGTGCATCTTTTTGCAACTACAATGCAATCTAAAATCTTGTAGCTCTTTAGAGACTTGCTGCCATCTGAATAGATTGTGATGTTCAAGTTAGCTGCTTTTTTTTTTTTTTTCTTATGTTTAGTACAGATACATCTAGGTAAACTCAGTGAGCTAACTATTTCTGTTTTTTTTTTTTTTTTGAGGAATTTTGGGTGTTAACTTTCAGACAATTTTTTTTTTGTCTTTTCAGATCTCTGGATGGCAGACTGTGAAACAAAATGCTCTTTTAAGAGGTATGCCACATGTAGGCCAAAATACTTCTGATAAATGTGTACACCAGTGATAAGGCTATACCTCTAAAGAGGCTTTTAGGCTGTCTTTTTACTGTGTGTCCACTTTAACAACAGTTTTCAGTGCTGAAGTCTCTCTGAAATGTGAAAATTTGTTCAGAAGCATTCAAACTTTACGAGCAGTTTTACTGGAGAGGTCTGGGAGGTGCTGCTTACCTTTTTGATTGATAATCTTAAGAGGATACAACCTTAGATGGGGAAGTGTAGCATAAAGAAAAGAAATCTTGACTGTCTGACATGTGCATAGCCTCTGCCACCCTCTCCTTCTCTCCTGATTGTTGTGCGTGGTGGGTGGCTTATTTTTTAGGTGTTATTTTTTCCATTGTAGAGGCAATTCCAGGTGCATTTATAATTTTTTTTTTCCTACCCCTCCCTCCCCGGCTTTCCCTTGATATGAAAGGAAATCTCTCAGCAGTGAAGGACTGACATGGCTTTAACAATATGGCATAAAATATTTGGAAACAAGATGGATGAGCAATAATCTTTATTCAAGTGATTGTTTTTGTGTATTAGATGGATGGTGAAACATTCCTGTGTGATAGTGGGCTGATTATGTTTTTATTTATTTATTGTTACTTTGGTTTTTATTTACTCATTTATTTATTGATTTTTATTTTTGTTTTCATGTTCTAGCATAATGGGACCACTTCTCTCTTTCAATGCTTTACAGCTGCTAGGTAAAGCAGCTGTCTGCTAAAGTTGAATTGGTTAGCTCTTTCCTTTATCTCTCAGCCATTTCATGATTCATGAGGAAGAGTTTAAAAAAATATGTATGTATGTTCTGACTGGTATGTCAGAACCAGTCTGTCCAATAGCTTTTTTGTCCAGAGAGGCTTCAGACTCTGTTCTGGGAATATCATTCAGATGACCATTCTGGTGATTGTCTGAATGAAGGTGGGCTTGTCCCAGAGTTAATGAATTCAGGAGCATCTGCCCTGTGAGCGAAGGCTGAGAGAGCTGGGCCTGTTCAGCCTGGAGAAGAGGAGGCTGAGAGAGGGCCTGATCAGTGTGTATAAATACCTCAAGAGAGTGAGTGAGGAGGATGCAGTAGTGTCTTTTCAGTGGTGGCCAGTGATAGAACTAGAGGAAACGGCCACAAACTGAGGCATTTTAGAGAGATGCTGTAGTCTCTTCATCATCTTTGTTGCTCTAGACTGGACCCTCTCTAGAAGGCTTCACCAGGGCAACACTCCAGGTGCAGCCTCTCCAAAGCTGGTAGAGGGGAAGGATCCCTTCCTGCGACCTGCTGGCAACACTCCTCCTAATGCAGGCCACGATCCCACTGGCCTTCTTGGCCACATGGGCACACTGCTGGCTGAGAGTTAATGTGTCAAACAGAACTCCCAAATCCCTCTCCATGGAGCTGCTTTCCAGCAGATCAACCCTTAATCTGTAGAGATGCCTGGGGCTATTCCTTCCCAGGTGCAGGACCTAGAACTTGTCCTTGTTGAACACCATGAGGTTTCTCTCTGCCCACCTCTCGAGCCTGTCCAGGTCCCTCTGAAGGACAGTACAGCCCTCAGGAGTGTTGGCCACTTCACCTTGTTTGGTATCACCCACAAGCTTGCTGAGGGTGCCCTCCGCACCCACATCGAAGTCATTGATGAACAAGTTGAACAGCACTAGGCCCAGTACTGACCCCTGGGGGACGCTGCTAACTAGAGGCCTCCATGTAGACTCAGACCCATTTATCAGCACTCTCTGAGCTCTGCCATCCTGCCAGTTCTCAATCCACCTTACTGTCCACTCACCTAACCCACGCTTCCTGAGCTTCACCACGAGGATATTATGGGAGACGGTGTGCAAAGCCTTGCTGAAGCCAAGGTAGACATTCACTGCTTACTCCTTCAGCCAGCCAGCCAGTCATCCCATTGTAGAAGACTACGAGGTTGGTTAAACATGACTTCCCCTTGGTGAATCCGTGCTGACTACTCCTCATCACCTTCTTTTCCTTCCCATGCCTAGACATGGTGTGTAGGATGTGCTGCTCCATCACCCTTCCGGGGACAAAGGTGAGGCTGGCCAGCCTGTAGCTTCCAAGGTCCTCCCTCTGGCCCTTTTTGAAGACTGCATTGATGAAAAGTGCATTTTGTTAAGCCAAGAGAGAGGAGAAGAGGAAAAAGGAAATCTTATCTGAGCTTTGAAAGATGGAACAGAATTGAAGTTCCTCAGTGATACAGAGCGTAAGACACTGATCTGCCATCCTCTTCGGAGTCCTCAGTTTACTGGAGATTCAAGGCTTGAGCTGCTGCAGCCACCCATGGTGGCCATTCTTGCCCCAGGCTAGGCTGACCTGCTCATGCGAAGGGCACGGGAAGACAGGGAGCTGTGCTCAAACCCTAATGACRCGGATCTTCCTGATGTGAMGCTCACGGCTGCTATTGATTTCCTTTTATCCAAAGTAAACTGATGTGGAAAAGAGAAGCTGCTCTGCGCCTTTGTTCTTTGTTCCTCTTCTTTTATTGTTTGTGAAGGCAAAGTCTCTGCTTCAAACATTAAAAAGAAAACTTTTGTTGAACTTTGTAGCCTCTACCTCTTTTTTTTTTTTTTTTTCCGCAGTGTCTTGTCAGATATAGTGGATGTGAAGAAAGAAAGGTGTTGTGTATTAAGATTTTTCATTTCATCCAAATACTTATCTTTATTGTTTTCCTGATTTCATTTTTAAAGAAAAAAAGATTCTGATTAAATCCTCCTGATTTTATTTCTTTAAAATAATAGAAATAGAAACCCATTAACTTCCTCTGGTGGTTGAGCAGACATGTTCTTAACCAAGTCCTGTCCTATCCAAGAAGTCTCGTATTCTCTTCTGTCCCCCCATCAGATGTTACCAGAACGTGTGACCAAAGCTGCAAAGAGCTGGAGGTTGCAAAGTGATCCAGACCTCCAGATTTTCATGTAGAGATGTCATAAGGAGTCAGACGATTTGTGGACACGTGACATGCATGACAGTCAGCAAGCTTTCTTCTCTATCAACTGCAAATAGCAGAAAACATATTCCATTACATTAATTCTCTTTACAGAACCTCCAACCTTTAGCTGTCTAACCTTAGCTTGGGTCCTGTGAGTATATCAGAACTACAAAGTAAAGAATACTTAGTATTTTAGCTACCGGATTGTCAATTTGCATTTGAAATCTGTGAAGAGATGTCGTCTTCCATGTGAATGTGACCTGACTTCCTTTATTGGATCATCTTGCAAATGAAATGCCTCTTGGAAAATGTCAGCTCAAGATGTGATAGATCAATACGAGGAATTTAAAACCTGGAACAAACCAGTACTAGTACCTGAGTTGCTACATGGAATAACCTCACATCTTACAGTTAAACCCAAAGCCAAACTCCCAGATGGCTTGAAATCTTCCACCAGAGCTGCGTTATAGCACAAATCCCATAGGCTTGTAGGAGGACTATATGGACATGTATGAACTTCCACAAGTATATCCACTTGTGAGTGTGCGTGCTCACAAAGGAATAAGAGTTAACCCTTACCAAATCTGTATCCAAAGAGTTTCTCACATATGAATTTTGGTACCAAGTAAGAAATCGCCTGGAAACAGAGTAGTGCAGGAAGATCAGATTCAGATTGTGCTTTACATACTGGGCGCTTTGAGGGCAATGAATCATCTCATACCTAGCCAGTCTAGGTGAAAAATTCCTCCTCCACAGGAGGAGGAGGAGGACAGACACCAAGTGTGAAAGCAGATTCTTTGCTGGTGGTTATTAGTGATGCAGATTGTCCTGGGAGATACCATATCCTTGCAAATGTGTGAAATCTCACAACAGGACTTCCACAAGAGGATATGCATCTGCTTCAGAGGATATGTATTAAAAGGCTACCCTTTTTAATTTTAAATTTAAAGTTCCTTGTCTGCTCAGTTTTTGTTGGTGGCATATTAGAATGACATGGGAATGGCACTAATTCTGCATGCAGAATAGGGAGATACAGGCTTCCCTACTAGATTCACTAGGAGTTCAGAGCATTATATTTTAACTAGAACTCCCATTGAGTGCATAAGAAAAAAAAAAGGTTTTAGAAGATCAGTCTTGGCACATGGCCCTTGTTTGGAGGCAATGCACATCAGTGTGCACTGGCATGGTATCTACCTGCCTGCTTAGCACAAGGCTATGCCAGGAACAGGATAGGAATTGTGCCTCTTAGTGTCAGCTTGGAAAGATTTGGGGCTGAACTGCTTCTTGGAGGAGATTTGCGCAGGTGCCGATGTCTAAGTGTGGGATCCTGGGGTGCATTAAGAAGAGCATCTCCAGCAGGTCGAGAGAGGTGATGGTGGCCCTCTATCCAGCCCTGGTGAAGCCACATCTGGAGACTGTGCCCAGTTCTGGGCTGCCCAGGACAAGAGGGATGTGGAGCTGCTGGAGAGAGTCCAGCGCAGGGCTACGAGGATGATCAGGGGCCTGGAACATCTGCCCTATGAGCAAAGGCTGAGGGAGCTGGGTCTGTTCAGCCTGGAGAAGAGGAGGCTGAGGGGGGACCTGATCAGTGTCTAGAAATACTTTGAGAGAGGGAGATGGGCCTGGTCTCTTTTCAGTGGTGGCCACTGATAGAACTGGAGGAAACGTCCACTAACTGAAGCATCAGAAGTTCCGCAGGAACTTAAGGAAGAATTTCTTAACAGTGAGGGTGAGAGAGCCCTGGCACAGGCTGCCTGGAGAGGTTGTGGAGTCTCCTGCCCCGGAGATCTTCGAAGTCCTTTTGGACGCAGCCTGTGCCACGTGTTCTAGGTGACCCTGCGTGTGCAGGGGGGTTGGACTAAATGTTTTCTAAAGGTCCCTTTCAACCTTAAGGATTCTATGATAATGATATTTGTGTGGTGTATATATGTGTGTGCGTGAATTTATACATATATAAAACCTATGTTAGATTATGACAATGTTATCTGATGAAAGTTCCTTTACCTTTTGTGGAATAATAAACTGTGAGAACATGGGAATATTAGAGCACTTTCGCACAAACAGAGGTATGGTTCAGGTAGCTCAGCACCCCTTTAATAATGACGAAAAAGTAGTAGAAAATGAGAAATGAAAATCAGTTCACATTTTTTTTGTTCGTTTGATAACTTCTTGTGGAAGTAGGAACCACGGATAGAAGAGACATGTTCAGTAGCACAAGGGGCAGGGTAAATTAAAAGCTGACACAGCTGGCTGAACTGCTTATTGGAGAGTGATGCTGTCTTGAGGCTTCTGTGCTAAGACTTCTGCATGTGCAGGAAACAGTTTATTCTCTTGTTTAGGCACTGCAAACTAGCAGTGTGGGCCAGGCCTTGTGCAAAAATCTATTCCTGTAGCTGCTTTTGACAGAGAAGTGGCTAAGGCCCTGGAAAAACTTGCCCGCCTAGTGTTTCTTCATGTTAGTAAGGTCCAGATGCTGCTCTTTAAATATATAATGAGTGCTTTATATTCAGTTTGTTATTGCTGTTATTATTATCGCTACTACTTATTCAGAGGTGGAGGAAATCTTTACCAGGATGATTATATGAAATAAACCTAAGTAGGAATTTCTAAATCTATATTATTCTTTTACTGAAATAAAATATGGTTTTTATTTCTCATTCAATCCATGAAGTAGTTTTCTACATGTTTACTACTTTTGCTATCTTTTGCCTGAGGGAGGGAGAAAACCCATTACATTAATTTAGTTTTTTTACCTTCTCTGTTCTAGTTTATTCGTAGCTCTAACAATATCTTGTTCCATCTGAGCTCTTTTTATTTGTTATAGGTATTCTTGATTCGAGTGGTGCATGATATCTTGCCTTTCTTGGCAATACTTGTCTCTACAATAGTGAGGAGAAATTGTGAAATGTTTTCTAGAGAATAAATTATTTCTGTGCTTCAGTTTTCACTGTGATGTCTTTGGCTGTTCATCCTCCCCAATGCCTTGATTCAGTTCAGGATAATTGTGAAAACCTTTTGCTGAATTGCTGTCTAGACAACTAATCAGAGTTGTGATTGATATTGTCCTTTTATGTTTGCCTCTTGGCCTGATCCTTTTGGCTTGAACTCTCTTTTATCTATCATGAATTATGTCGTTTTCCAGAGGGCCTTGTTGCTATTCTAACATATGTTGCTATTCTAACAGGCTAGCTATAAAATAAATAAATAAAACTGTAAAATATTTTTATAACAATAATCCAGTTCCCAAGTGCAAATTATAATCTACCTTGTGTATTACACAAATATGCTGTATTTTCATTCTTCTTTAACAGCTAGTTACTGGCATAATTATGAAATCTCAAATGCTGTAAAACAGGTTTGGGTTTCATATCTCTTCTTAACCCTGATAAGTCTGTTTTGCATTGTGCAGTGCAGGTCTTGAGAGCTTGGTTAGGAAATTGCTTTTCCATTGCTTGTGTTGGAATGTAATGTACTTTCTTCACTCCTGGTATAATTCAGTCTAGTTTGAAAATTTGTCTTTTCATAGTTCTCTGTTTACCATTTCTTCGTTTACCATTTCTTTAAACATCGGAAAAGAACAAGGGAAATGGAGAATTAAACTTTTAATGTGGAATGTGGGGAAAATCTTTTCACCATTCAGATTTTTAAATATATTCTAAAACTCAATAAAAACTATTATTTGTAAGCCAGGCCTTGGCAAGTCACTGTAATAGAGAACTATCATGTAGTGATGAATGTTTGGTAACCAAATGTAGTAAATTGTAAGCCAGTGTAGCCAGCTCTTTTTAATTATTTACAACGTTTCCACAGTTTTTGCATTTTTCTAATATATTCAAAAAAATATATATTTCTATATTTAAATATTGTGGCCTGCTTGTAAGGACATAGGTTTTGTAGGCTGTTTTAGCTTACAGTAATGGAGGATGCTGCAGTAGCTTTTTCTCCCTTTTTTTTTCTTTTTTTTTTCCCCCATTTCTACCTTGAAAGTGATTATTTAGGTGACTAGGAATATTTCACCTTGGTTCCAGGTCAATGTATCAATAATGAAAATGTGTTAATAGTATTCTAGGCCATCTATTTACCATGATATTGAAGCTCTGGTTGTAAGCTGATGTTGCATTCACATTATTTCACGATTCATTTCTATGAAACACTTGAAAAGTTATTATAAGAACATTTACGTTGTGTGAACATACCCTTAAGATGAATTCCAATTACTTATATTACTTATATCCAAAATTACTTTTACACGATCACTGCAGCTGTCTTACTGTGTTGTGTTTTTATCCTCCTACAGACACCAAAGATGCTAACAAGAAAGATTAAGCTTGGGGATATTAATGCCCATATAACCTGTCGTCTGTGCAATGGATACCTTATTGATGCTACCACTGTAACAGAATGCTTGCATACTTGTAAGTAGGAGTATAATTAAGTTAAATAAAATTTTATTGGATTTTGCAGCATGTTTTAATATGGTAAATTGAAATTCAAAAATCTGTAGCGGTTAAGACAAAATAATGCATGTTTTGCTAGACTGTGATTTGTTTAGTGAAGTGACATGAAGGATATGAGAAGACTATTGAAGCTGTACTGCAGAAACTTGAAGTGTTTTTACAAGGGGGAGATATGATCCACTGAACTTGCCTTCCTCATCACTCTTCCCGTTGTGGTTATTCCCATTTCACTCTCTGCTCTGCATAAGTTTCACATTACTATGATGTCCTATTTGAAATGTAGTGAGAGATTGATTTTGTTCCAAATATATTACTGCTGCTGTTAACAGCCTATGTTAACAATATCATTAGTATGTCACCCATCTCATCAGTTTGAGAGTTTATGGATCACTTTTCGCTGTCCCGATAAAAAAATGCTTAATTCCCATCAGCTACATCATCTCTCAGGTTTTTAAATGTAGTGAATTTAGGTTAATGCTCAGGTCTTGTTGTAGAAGCCAGGGAATAATCACTTCTTATTTATTTATTTATTTCGTGGAATATGCCTCCGTAATGTAGATTGTCTGTATTTTCAGTCCATGGTATTCTGTAGAGTTACAGTATTTTGAGGAAGGCACATCTTCCTAGTTTTATTTAACTTCAATCATGTTGACATTGTTTCTTTTGTATACATTAATGGTGGCAATGTATTTCCTAACAAGGCTTCCATTGAATATATCTCTTGAAAATGCCCTCTCAATATTGAGGTAATAGATTCCCTGATAAATTACAATGCCATGTAATTTAACTTCTGTTTCTGCTCTGAATTGAGGGATTTTTCTGGTTTATCTGTATTATTGCAATTCCTTGCCCTTCAGAAATTCAGATTCTTCACTGAGCCAGCATAGTTATTGAGATCTGGAGTAAGAATACTTTGTCAGAGAGGAGGTTGGCTTGTTTTGAAAAACAAAATTCTGGAGCAAAATGGTCTTTCTCATTGCTGTTTTATACTCTGGTTCTCCACTGTCCCTTTAATTTGCTACTGATAAGTAGGCCTGTAACTTAGTAAGCAAAATCAGTAGCAACTCAATATCAAAACTTTTCTAATTTACATCTGTTTCTTGAGGCAGCTTCAACCTTATCCAATAGATACAGATCATGTTATACTTTTGTATGTGTGATTTGAGAAGAATTAATGCGTATGTTTTAAAAACTGTTTTTGTGCGTTAAGGAAGACGAAGACCTAATGAATATTGTGGGTTTCACGATGATAGTGAAAGAGAAAGTGGATATTTTGAACTGGATGTAGAAATGACAAAAGTTTAGAGCAACAAAGCAGTAAGGAATAGTGAGTGTGTGAGGACTCTGTCTCTTCTTGGGGAGCAGGGAGCAATGCAAGACCTAGACTTAATGGCCAAAAGGTGTAATGTCAGTGATTAACTTTTACCAACAAAAACGTCTTCAGGGTGTAAATACAGTACAGAATATGCACTTACCACATTTGCTTTGCTGCTTCACATCTTTCTGTATGAAATCATATGTATTCAAATGTATTGTTTGAGTGGCAGATGGCACTGTATTTACAGAAATTCTCTTCCTTTATGCATTAAGGATTACCACATTATTTCTAGAATAAATAAATGACTACTGATTAGGAATAGGATGTTTCAGTGTTTTCAAAGAGAAACCTTGTAGTATAGTTGGAATAACTAGAAATTTTCTAAATTTTGGAGTTGAGTTTATTTTTACCTTCTAGTTAGAAAATCATGTAATAGAAATACTGTGTCCAGTACTGTTTCTCTAAAGAAATGAAATGAGGTAAATAGTTTGTTTTCAACCAAATGGATAGAATTGTTCCAACGGGCATGAGAACAGTTCCAGAACAGTGGAGCTCTATGGTATATCCCTTCATTAACCGCTTTTATAGGATTTCTTTAAAAAATTCTATTTAAAAATATTTTTAACAATTTTTAATATTTTTAAAAAATATTTTTAAAAAATCTATCATTGTGTATTTCTTTATCTGGTGGAAATTTAACTGTGATGTGTACTCTGTGAATGGTAGAAGTAAAAGACACCTCGATATCCCTTTTTTGAAAGTACTCTGTTCTTCTGAAAAGTATGCAACTTCAGGAAAAAGAATAATATGTTTGCCCTAAGTTCATTTCCAAAGAATTAACTTCTTTATAAAACATGGCTAAGGAAATTGTCTCGGTTTTTTAAGGACATAGAATGTCTTGTGGCACTAATATTATGGAGTTTACCTGCCATTCAGCTAAGTTCTGGAATGGGACTGTGCTGTTTGCTTTATTTGGAAGACTCTGAGTACATACAAACCTCCTGCCTTAATTTATACACAGCACTTCTTCTACAGCATTTGAGAAAGATATTGTGAACTGTTTTTAGAATGGTTAGACTTACACATGTAAAATACCAAATTCAATTTTTTATTTGCTATGTGTATTTCTGCAATTATATCAATCTTCTATATTTTGAATGTAGGTTTATTCTTTTTAATTATGAGAACTTTGTTTTCAGTCTGTAGAAGCTGCCTTGTGAAGTATTTGGAGGAAAATAACACCTGTCCAACATGTAGAATTGTTATACATCAGAGTCATCCTTTACAGTATATCGGGTAAGTAGAAAAGTAAAAGCATGACTAGTTTCACTCTAGGTTTGTAAGATTTGCTCATATAGCACAATTTTCACCTAGATTTTTTTACTTGCTTAACAGTCTGGTAAGCATTTAAAAAGAAATTTGAATAGATTTGATATGATTTAGATAAAAGACCTAAATGCTGCTCTTGGCTATGAATTTGCATTTTCTTAACATCTTTCATGTTCTCTTTTATGAGTGAAGCCTAATAGAGTAGAATTGAGACGCTTCTTGTTTTATACAACCACAGCAGAAGAGTTTCATATATGAAGCATTTGTAGGAGTTGCACTTTTACTATATGTGACAGCAATTCCTGTCAACAGTGGTTTTGACTGTCTAACAAGCTGATAAGAAAAATAACTGTTAATGTTATTGTTTAGTTATACATCCAAAGGATGCTCATAGGTGCAGATCAGAACACAGCAAAAAACATTAGTCCAGTGGATTTAATCTGTAGAGTGTAAAAATCTCTCCTTTTGATGTAACATGAATTCAATATTGACCATTTATATCTTTTTTTTTTTTTTTTTGGTCTGCGATTTACAAAGCAGTCATTTTACAGCACTTTTTATTTGCATATCTCTAACACATCTGTCAGGTGATTGTACATGCGGCTTGGCCGAGTGCACTACAGATCTGAAACACAGAAGCTTTTCCTGATGGAAGGGCGTTGTGGCAGTTTGTTCATACTAGCTGTTGCATATCAAGTAGTCTTTTGCTTACCTTTATGAAGAGCTTGGTTCTTTTTATGTCGTAGCTTTCAGTGTGCATGTCTCAGCTGTATCATAACTTTTGAAACAGTGCTCATTTCTCATTTGCTGTCACTGGGATCTGTTCTCAAAATAATTTCTGAATTACTTAAGACTGATTCATATTTAAGAGTCAGAGAATCATTATGCTGTCTCTGTAGCTTGCAGTAATGGCGATGTACTGTCGTTATACACTATAAAAATGTATGCTTTGAAGGGAAAAATAGATGCTAGTAGGCAGGAAGATTTAAGTGTCAGTTAAAACAGCATCTTGTCCCCGGTAACACTACAGCAATACAGCTGTGCCTTGGGTCAGAAGTTGAGACCAGGTAGCATAGCCTCAAGTTGCATACAGCAAGGGAATTTGGCCATAACTTGTAGTCACTGAATGTGCCTTCATCGTAACTTGATTTTGATACTTCTTGTATTGCTGCTTTAAAACAAAGTAATGATTGATTAGAGTTAAACCTTTGTTTTGTCCTCATTTCTGTGGTGGTTCACTGGTCTTTACCGTTGCAAGGCAATCATCTCCTTTAATTAGGAACCTGAGTACTCTTTTAAACTTAATCTTTTGCATTGTAATCAGGGCCAATATTTGGTATTGCAAGCTCTGTTCGGTTTACTATCTGCACAGCAACTGGGATTGTTGTTTAGATTGTTCTTAAATTTATATTTGAATTAGAATTCAAGGCAATGTTTTGTTTCTTTGAATAATTATTTTAGGCTAATCCAGAAATTGTGCCTGTGGAGGTTGAAAACAATTTTTGGGTGAATACAGTTTTATGTAGCTGAGCTGCAATTCAAAGTTTGGTGTACTTGCTGCCACTCAAATTCCTGACATGTGGAGTGTTTAAGCTTTTGGGCTATATAATGTTGCTCATGGATAAAATGTTGTTTTAAAAGTGAAGTCAAACTTTCTGATGCATTTTTTTTCTGTGGAGCAAGACATAGCAAAATAAGGATAATTAAATAAAGTAGAAATGTGAGAAAGTGATTTAAATGGGCAAAAAAAAGACTACCCTTTATTGTTTTATACAAGAAAAGGCTTTTATTTCAAGGATGTCAGGGAACTTAGAGGCTATGCCTTGATGCGAGTAGGATGGTATCTTTTGGATAGTCAGGACTATTTCCTCTCATACTTCCACTGGATTTCTGAAAGCTATTATGTTAACCTGGAAATTTTCTGAATTAATTTCTTGTTACCTTTCTCTCTTATTTGATATATATATATATATATATATATATATATAAAATTATTTTTTTTATATATATATATATATGTATATTTAGAACTGAAATATTTCTAACAAGAATTTAGTTTTTCACCCAGTTTATTTCTGGAATGTATTGAGTGAGATGTTTTGAATCAAGATGGCTGATTTAAACTTTTGATTCTTTTCTTTTCCTGCTAGCCATGATAGAACAATGCAAGATATCGTTTACAAACTTGTGCCAGGCCTCCAAGAAGGTAAGCTGTGTATCTGGCATATTGTAGTAAATGCTGACTTTTTTTTTTTTTTTTTTTTTTTTTTTTTGCATTAAAGCAAGCTTTAGGTGATGAAGATGCAGTGTGAAGATTGCAGAGGGAACACAGAGGGAGGCTGAGGAAAAAGTTCAGTGAAAGCCCTGCCTATATTTGTTCTATTTCTGGTATTAATTCTTTATTTTTGCAGTAACTTAATTATAGAATAGTACCCAGCATTTTTTTTGGGGGGGAACGGGGCGTGATAAGGAGGAAGTAACAAAATTCTAGGGATATTTTAGGGAGAAGGTAGTATTACATATGTCAGAACAGCAGTTCAGCTTTCATATATTGGAATAATACACCTCATATATTTCATGTATTCTTGTTAAACTGTGCTTACACCTCTTGCACGAGGTGTAATTCCAAAGACAATGCAATGAAACTTATAGTATCAGTAAAGATTTCTTCTAATACCTATGACTTTTGGTAGCAGGTAAATTTTATTCTATATTTCTTTATAATTCTTTCTGAGACTTGATCTATTCAATGAAAAAAATATTTTGCAGTAACTGCTCAGTAATCGTTTTCCCTGTTGTGTTACAGCTTTTATGTAAATAGTTGATTTTAATCTAGTTAGACTGCAAAAGCACAAGAATCTAAGACATCGATATTCATGCTTTTAAAAATATTTTTTAAAAGATGGCATTTTAAAATTATTTCTAATGTTCTGAAGATCAGAAATAAAAATTCAAAACCCGTGGTATGACTGAAACGCTGAAGGTATGGCTAAGCTTTTAAGTGCTGTACTGTGCTTTATTTCACCTACACTAATAGCAATGTATTACACTAGCTACACAAATGATTTCATAGTACTCTTCTGCTAGACAATTATCTCTGGTATAACTCGGAACTGTAGGAAAGGTAGAGAAGTTTTACTTCTTGCTGACAAAACTCTTCTGTATGACACAGAAGGAATTTGGAAAAATCTCATAAATACTGCACTAGAATTATTTCAAGGATTAATATCTACAATTTTAAACAGCGGAAATGAAAAAGCAGAGGGAGTTCTATCATAAACTGGGCATGGAAGTACCAGGAGACATCAAAGGGGAGATGTGTTCTGCAAAGCAGCATCTGGATTGTCATCGAAATGGTAAATTATCTTTTGTTTGTTTCTGTCTTGGTAGGTTTATTTGTAGCTTGCCAAAAGAATCTGTCAGATGTATGTGTCTGCCATCATGTATAACACTCCCTCCACCCCCCTCCCACACATATACACCAATAGTAATTGCTTTATAGCAATGTAGCATTGTGAAGTATGTTGTAGAATGTGTAGAATGTTGGGTTCCCATTTTACCCTGCTTTTGCATGGCCAGTATTTGATGGTATTGAAGACTGTGTCCTTATTCCTGTTTCTCATGTGTGGAGCTGGTGTTGGATAAGCAGATAACTGAAACTGGAAAAAAAACAAGGGTTATTGTACATCTGGTTCTGAACTGTTGTAATCATAATAGATTTAGGAATTGCTGATGTTGAGTGTTATACCATATATTTTTTTTTTCTGTAAGGTGAAACTAAAACAGATGAAAGTTCAAACAAAGAAACATCTGAAGAAAAACAGGAAGAAGATAATGACTATCACCGAAGTGATGAACAGGTAGGCTCATAGGGCATTTTTAGTTTTATCTTGCATTCCAACTTTAGACCTATGATATCTTACTGAAGATAAATAACTACTGAGGGATTTTTTTTCCTCTTCTGATGCAAACAAGATAAAATGTTCCCCCTTGGTTTTTGTATAAATATGAGTTTTATCTTTGATTTTTGGCAGGAGTGAAGATTTTTGAGATATTTTCATCTCCTGTTTCTTTGATTTTTCCAAAGTATTGGGGAAAGTCTCTTCTGGCACTCAATTCAATGTAAATTCATATTATTGGGGCCTCTTGCTTGAAGGGATTTATGCCATTTTCACACAGTGAATTGAATGCTTTCAGTACTAATTGGAAGGAAGTGATTCTCTTCCTCTTCTCAATCCTGGTGAGAAACATCAGAAGTGCTACCTCCAGATCTGCCCAGTACAAGAGAGACATGGAGCTGCTGGATAGAGTCCGGGGGAGGACTACAGAGATGGTTATGGGACTGAACTGTCTCTTCTATGAGGAAGGCTGAGTGAACTGGGCTGTTTAGTCTTGAGAAGACTGAGAGGGAGCTTACCAGTGTGTACAAGTATCTTAAGGCAGTGTGTCAAGAGGATGGGTCCAGACTCTATTCAGTGGTGTCCAGTGATAGGACAAGAGGCAACGGAGGCAAACTGAAACACAGGAATATGAGGAAATTCCATCAGAATATGAGGAAAAACTTCTCGACTATGAAGGTGACAGAGAACTGGAACAGGCTACCTAGAAAGACTGTGGAGTCTCCTTCTTTGAAGATACTCAGAACCTACGTGGACACCATCCTGAGCAATGTGCTTTAGGTGACCCTGCTCATGCAGGAGGAGTGGACAAATCGATCTCCAGAGGTCCCTTCCAACCTAAACTATTCTGTGGTTCTGTGATAATGAATGAAAAACTGTTACACTTCTGCTAATTTACTGTTTATTTTATTTTACACTGCTAATGCGAGGACAGTGTTATCCTATACCAGCACATCCAGCATGAAGTTATAAATGCAAATTATGTTTGAATATCACCTGCTACTGTGTGCAGAGTGAATTAAACTTGGATTTTCTTTCCATATTGCTGTTAGTTAACTTTCAAAGGGAATTTATCTCGCACTATATCCTCTTAGTGCATAAAATAAACTTTGTTAGATAGAGCTTAAGCCAGATAATAAAATAGCTGATGAGAAAAGAAAGAAGAATATGGAAATTGAAAGGACATTGTGTGCAGATAATCTTTGAATTTTAAAAATCTGTTATATATTGCATCTGTTCATTTTAAATGTTGAAATAGCTTGTTAAAGATTAATTAAATATTTATTATTGGATTTAGCAGTTTCATTCAAAGCAAAAGGTCACAAGAGAAGCAATCATTAGCAATTTGGCTTTCTACCATGTATCTTACTCTGGCCTTGTAGACTTTTCCTGAACTAGTTGTAATCTGTGAAGCTTGACTAGAGCAGTCTAATTTTGAACGTCTCTGAACCTTTTCGTCCAAATTGTTCTTGAGTGAAATAATGGTTACCACTGAACTGACAGAATTTTATGTTTTCTTCAGTGGTACTTCATGCCTTTTAGTAAGTCCTCTAAACTTTGGCCTTTTTTGGCTGACTAATGAAAACTACATATTGAATACATAATGAGGGCAGCACAAAATTCTTTCACCCAGTCCTGACTGTTCTTATTTCCCTGAAGGTAAGCATCTGTTTGGAATGCAATAGCAGCAAATTGCGTGGATTGAAGCGAAAATGGATTCGCTGCTCAGCACAAGCAACAGTCTTGCATCTAAAGAAGTTCATTGCCAAAAAACTTAACCTTTCTTCTTTTAATGAGGTAATATTTTAGTTTTTAAAAATGATTTTGGAAAAAAACATGGTAGGGAAACTGTGTGTGGGGGTACTTTTTTGCAAAGCAGTGTCTTCCAATCTGACTGTATTTTCTGAAAATTGAGGCATACAGAACTTTCCTGAGTTGTGTAATGCCTGGGCCATTTTCTTGTCTTCTTTAAGTGAAGCAGATGATTTTTTAAAAGATGGGTTTTTTTTCCTTGGAGTTTATTTTCACTTTTACTTTAGGATTTCTAGTCTTTTTCACTTCAGGTTTCCCTTCCCCTTCCTCCTCCTAAACAATGAAAGTGTAATTTTGGTTGACACTTGGGTTATACAGGACTTGACATTTAGTTGGCAGTGCATCTTGGCACATGTTTTTGTGTCCACATTTAAGTAGTTGCACCAAAATGCTTTGACTGTTTGCTTCCATAGAGGTTCAAACCAGCAAAGTGTTTTTTTTGACATCTTGAATTGAGTTGTACCCACAGAGATTATACACAGTTGACGTGCTTGCAGGCCATAGCCAGTAACCCTTAAGCAGTGGTGAAACCTGGTTTGCAGGAAAGCAGCACATATGTTTCCTTCTCTGCTTGGGATAAAGCGCAACCTTATGTAGTATAAGCCAGTGTCTGTCAAAAGCAGAGGGCTGTAAAACACGTACTTTACCATGCCACTGCAGGGAATACTTAATTAGTCACTTCATGGGAAGAAGTTTCAGTGATGGTAAAGAAAGAAAAGGCTTCCTGTCTCTATGCTTCTTTCATTTCAGGTTCCAAATTAATAGTTAATGGCAAAACTAAGAATGTAGCCTTTGCTTAACACATTGCTGTCTTGGTCACAAGTCTCTCAGCATCTGATTTGATTCACAGCCTGCCATCTCCCAACCAGATATCATGTCACTGACGTTTTGAATTTCATTATGTTTTTTCATTCAAATCAAGATATCTGCTTTCCAGTCCAAAATATCAACAGCTTCCTGCTCAAACTTTTCCATTGCCAGTTTGTATCTTTTCAGTTCTTCCTTCCTAGCTTCCCTGCACTTCATTCACTTCATGCACTTCCATGTTTTGTGGCTGGAGTACCTCCCAAAGCACAGTTAGGCTTCCTGTCTTGCCATAAGCTGCTAGCACAGAAACTGTTGGCTCATGGCTGTGACCCAACAGGCAACATACCTATGGTCAGTATTTAAAATGTTTTGGGCTTTTGTATTCTCTACCTTTTTTTCTTTAAAGCAAACTGAAATTCCTCTGCCACCTCCTTTTCTTCCTAAAAAGCACTCAAATTGTTGCATTGCATGACCATTGTGTCGTTACCTAGTACCTTGTACCTAGTAATGGTGTCATGGTTGGAGACTTCAGATTTATGAGCACTTGATTGACTACGCTTCCATGTTTGAGTTATTATCAGCTAGCTAATCTATGTCAATGGATTGCATGGATAGTATAGCCTTCCGGAATGGTGTGATAAAGTACTGTGACATGCTATCTTGATGGAACTCAGTGCTTTCATGCATATTATTAGTTTTAGTTCAGCTGGTAGGTAGTCCTTTGAATTCACATTTTTCTATGTATACCCTTACTGTTTCAAGATATTTAACTACTGAGATAGAAAAACAAAAACTTCCAGTTGCTGAAAAGTAAAAAAAAAGTAAAATAAATAAAGGTGGGGACAGACAGCTTTTTAAAATGCATCTTTCAAATGAAAAATGGCCTCCATGATGTTTATGAAAATACTACTCCCAGCATGTTAAATGACAGTTGTCTTAATATGAGAAATGTGAATTATTATATTTCGGGGGCATTTTTGGAATGCTTTATTTGCCCTTTATAAAAGCATATGTGCTTTACAGTAATACTGCTTTTGAAGCTAAGTTCAAAAAGTCCACTTTATACTCTATTCCCCAGGTAGATTCAGTAATAGTCTTTCATCGCTTTATGTTGAGGAAACTCTCTCTCTCTCTCTTTTTCTGTTTTGTCTTGTGGTACTATTTTTGTCCACTGAGCAACTGTAAAGATGAACGGTTCCAGTGTCCTCAGAAGAGGGGGAAAAAAAGGTCTTGTGTAACATTTATAGTATTATCTGAAATGTATTTTTTTTCATATACTGACTCCCAGTGAGTTAATTATCTTTTCTCTTTCTTGTCAGCTGGACATATTATGCAATGAAGAGATTCTTGGCAAGGACCACACACTCAAATTTGTAGTTGTTACTAGATGGAGATTTAAGGTATGACATGGCTGCTCCAAATAAATCATGCAGTGACTAAGGAAGAAGCTTTTACTATAAAAAAAAAAAAAAAAAAAACACCCTAATTTAGGCCTACGTAGCAGTGACTGTAATCTCAATATCTAATACAGCATTTTTAAGAAGTAGGTACTAATTTTGTTTACAGAGAAACCGAAGGGTAAAGAAATGAAATAATAATCTGTAACAAAACATCAACTGTTCAGAGGGGCAGTAAGCACTGTACTTATCTCAAGTTAAGAGTGGTTAAAGAGGTTGAGTAGGTCTCTGATTTCGGTTGTAGTTTACTTTTTGGTTTTGAACAAATACAAAACCTTTGAAAGATGAACAATAAATTATTGGGTATTCACAATGAGTACCAATTATCACATCTGTAGAATTGGCAAACTAAAGGAAAAATAATTAAAAGAAAAAAAAAGGAAATGCTAGAGATTGTTATGGAAAGACCTAATGATTTAGTGAGAGTGTTTAGTGTGAGGTGTTCTGCCTACTGTTCAGCTTTGTCATGGATATTGGTGCAATTGTGAGTCTCATGGAAGAAGAAACAAAGATAAAATTCCTTCTGCAGTAAAAGAGATGAAGGACAGCAAATGAAACCGGTGGTCAAGAGGTTCTGAACAGACAGATGAAAGAGATTGTCTACAAGATTCAAGGAATTTGTTGATATGGGATGTTGAGGATGTTATCTCTTTCTGATAAAAGAATACATGCATTCAGGGAGCAAATGTTACTAAGTATAGAGAAGAACCACATCTGATTTAGGAAATGCCTGCAATATCAATGGCAGGAGTATGGGAGTATTCTATGCTGTTTACTTTCTGCATTATTACCCTCCTCACTAGTCATTTCTCTTAGGCCCTCTTGGGAATGAATTCCTGAGCTCAATAGTAAGACCCAGTATGTTTAGTCTTTAGATGATGGAATACTAAGAAAAAAGAGGAAAGATTCTTCACCTCTTGTCTGAGCTCCACAATATGTCCTGGTAGAATTTTGACAGAGAGCTATTCAGATAATTTGTTATACTTTATGAAACAGAAGCGTTTGCTACTGAATAATTTTGGGGTTTACTTCTTAACCTAACTGATGTTTTTGTTTTGCAGAAAGCACCTCTCCTGCTACATTACCGACCCAAAATGGACTTGCTGTGAGAGAACTTTATTGTCCTTTTGGACATAGTTTTTTGCAGAGACTATCATCTGGCACCTTCTTAGTGCATCACTAGTCGTATGACACAAACCAGCCGAAAAATTTTGGAAGACTGTAGCGCTTTCGTAGCGGACCAACCTTCTGAATATTTCTTCTAGGGATGTGTTACCCGGATTGCTAGACAGAAAATATTTATACTTTTTGTAAGAAAGAAATAAGTCACGACTCAACAAGACACTACCAGCACTAAGTTTACAGTTATGGAAAATACTTCATAGTTCTACATAGCTCAGCTTAACTTGTTTTTTTTTTTTTTTTTTTTTTTTTGCAGTTGCACAGAAATAAGTTAGAATGTTGTGGGGTGATTTAATATTGCTTTTGACACCAAATTGCATTTAGTTATTTTTCATGTCTTGAAACTATTAAGAATTTGATCCACTATATTTTTGCAAGATGTTCCTGTCTTTAGTATGACTGATCACATTGGCTTTCATCAAGGTTTTCTGTAGAGCATTGAACATATCTAATATACTGACTAGTGATATTTATTTTTGCTGATTTGAAAAATTTTTGAAAATTTGGGAATGCAGTGACTTGATTAGTTCTGCCCAATGATTGGTCTACTATTTTGTGTTTTAGTACAGCTTTGATATTCTCTTTGCATGTTGAATTGATAAAATTAATGGAAATAAGTTCAATTGATTTAATGAGCCCTGATATTTTTGCTGTGGCATAAGTTGCACCACATCACAATGAACAGTCAAAGCTACTAGGTTGGTGAAAATAAACATGTTATATAGTGGAGGCTTGCAGAAATTAGTTTTTGGTTTAGAGAGAATTTGCTGTCACTAGGTGTTGAAGCCATGACTGCTGGCAACACTGGTGATATTGTACAGTTTTCACTTCCCTGATTACAAGCTCTTCTTTTGGTTGCTGACCACCTTAATATTTTTATCTTACCATTTTTTCATATGTAACTAAAATATTTCCTTTCGTGCAATTACTAGCTATATTGGAGGTCAGACTACATGCTAGTAGCACCTTCTGGCCTTAATTGGTAAATTTGTTTGTGTTGGCCCTAATGGGTGCAAGCTAACGTACATTACATGTATCTGTTTATATATGTATGTGTGTATATATACATACACACATAAATCTATATTTTGTTACAAAACCAGCCCTTAATAGTGCTAAACAGGGTTCACTGCACTGTTAGAAAGCTTTTTGAAATAGCTTTTTAAAAATCGTAATAGATAAAAGTGATTTCTGCAAGCTGCATACTGTATCGCATATATGGGACAGATGTGAGTGTGTATACCTGGTGTATACCTAGATCTCTGTCAGGTCAAATCACTGCAAAACTAGGCTATGCAGACTTAGTGGCGTCTGGAAATGATTAATTCTCCAAGTTTTGGAAGAGTTCTTCTGTCAGCTAAAAATGCTCATTTCTATATATATTATTTAAACCCTGTTGTTGTTTGATAAAATGTCTTTGGATGAAAAAATTTGTTTGCATTTTAACATTGCTGTGCTTCCTCTAGCTGTGCTCCCTCCTTTTTTTTTGAAAGAAAGTATTACTTAAGTTGTTGCTTGACAACAGGAAACTGATCTTCTGGGGGGTTTATCCAAGTAGTTTTAGTCCTCTCGCCTCAATTTCAAACTCAAACATGCACCACGATCCTCAGCATGTCTCCTCCACCTCTGTGGAATCCTCAGTCCTTCTTTCCCAGCTCTGCTGCTGCTAGAGGAATGTTCTACATTCTCTTATTTACCTTTGAAAACAGGTTCTTCATTTTTATTTACAATCACAGATATGAGTGGGAATGAAATCACAATAAATGGAAGCAGAAGGAGGTGTTTAAAGGGGTGGGGAAAAAAAGAAAAATAACCTTCTGAATTACGGCGATGAAAATTAGGCACCACTAAGGCCAAAAACGTTTGCTGTCTCTGTAAATGAGGACTTGAGATAGCAAGATTTGAGTGTTTGAGTTAAGCAGAACTTCTCCACACTGATAGAGGGTGTGTGTATGTGTGTATTTGTCTGTCTGTGCTTGCACATGTGTGTGCATGAGCAATGGAATTAGAACTTGGCTCTGGTTTTGCCTTATGTGTCAGGACTTGCTTAGCTACATTTGAGCTTTGATTTATAGTGAGGATTAATTGAAGTGATAGAAAACCAGTGATATGACAGGAGTCTATATGTTCATTTCACTTTTCATAAAATGGTGAATTCAGGTAATCATGGATGTGTGCACAAAACGACATGCTGGACCTTTCGGGAGTTAATGCTTAGCACTATCCCAGTTTAAATAGTGACTGCTTTTTTTTAAGCCAGCGAGGCCGAAAGCGTGTGAACATGGCTGGAAGTGTGCATCCTCTGTGCACCCTGCGTATACAGACACTGGCCCTATCTGATGTAGACATGGAATACAAGCCCACAGACAGCATCTTGATTAAGGTGGTTCCACTACAAAGGGTTTAATGCAAACATGAATACATATATATGTATCTTATATATGTGTGTGTGTGTTTGTGTGTGTGTGTGTATACACACACATATATATGACATATACGTGATCTGTCTACCTCAGAATGTATAATGCAGAAACTTTTTTTTAAGACCAGATATAGATGCAGGGCTGTTAAAGTATATTGGGTTTTTAGTACATTCCTTTGTAGTTGTACAACTGAGAAGTTCATTACATTGAAATTCAGAAGGCCGTCTGCCTTTCAGAAATTAGTCTTGCTGTAACAATCTACAGAATATATATTTGTAAGTTTGTAACCATCTTTGGAATCACTTGAATTTGTTAATGGTGCTATCAATGTATTCTGAAAACTAATATAGATGCATAAATTGAAGCCAGTATTAATACCTGTAACTGGTTTTTGCTCTTAATTGTGTATAACTCTGCTTTTGCAATGTGTTTAACCTGATAAAACCTCAAAGGTTTAAAAAAAAAAAAAGGCAAAAATTTTTTTTTTCCCTAAGTCACATGGTACAGCATCTTCACTACAGAAACTCTTTCCCTGGGAGAAATGGAATCATGTCTATACTGTATGTTTACCCTCGCCTTATAAAAATAGAACAATATAACTGAGTTCAAATCAAAGTAAGGGTTTTGGTCAGAGTTCTGTTAAATTTGTGTGAAACTTAAGACAATAGATTTATATCAAGATTGTATTGGGTAAAATAATAATGATTATGTTCAAAGTTGTAATGACAGTTAGATTTGGCATAAATGACTTCTTGGTCCTTGTGAGGTCATGTTCAATTTATTTTGACTTTAGTGAAGATGGCATTACTGTGAAGTAGTTTTCATAATTGCTTTTGCTGGTAAATAATTGCAGTAAGAAAGTAGCTTGTTGCATTATCCTTGGCAGCAAAGAGCCTGACGAATCACCCAGACTTAGAGTTGCATTAAATATAGTTTTCATTTAAAATATAAAATTCAGATAGAATATATAATATTGAATTTAAATAAGATTTGGGGTTTTAAAAATTATCTTTATAAAATTATTTATTCTATTTTAAACCTTCTGTGTTATTTTACCATCCAGGTATTTTTGGTTTCAGTGGTCCAGCTTTATATACGGGCATATAAAATGAAATTGTAAGATGTTTTTACAAGCTTCTTCCTTTTCCATTGAGTCTGAATAGCTTTTATTTGTGTTTTTGTTTTTTATGGAAAAAGAGCATTATTTATGCTTTTGTGCAATAGGTTTGAAACATGCATTCAGTAGGCATATGTTTAAATTGTAATTGCAGCATCCACTTACTGCTAAATTTAAAAAGAATGTATGTAGTTGGGATTTTTTCACTTGTTCAAATATGTTTTTTATTTTGAGCTATTACTTGGGGAGCAGGTTGGATTTTTTGTTTGTTTTTGTTTTGTTTGTTTGTTTGTTTTGTGAAGTTTTAGGTTTAAAATTTGTGCTAGAACTGCCTGTCTGCAATACTCAAAAAAATAAATGATCTGGCAAGAAACCTTAATGTGAATTGTGGAAGTAATTGGCAAGACTTGCAGCCCATCTGAAATTGTTTGGTGCCATTGTCAAGTGCGGCATCTGTACTCTCTGACCTAGGAATATTTGTTTTTTAGTGGTTGTGCAATAGTGTACACAACACTATCACCTCTGGGAATATATGGGACCATAAAAAATGTTAACAACTATGATGGTGCTATTTTTTCAATAGGCTATGAGGCTTTGAAAGCTTATCTGGCTCTACTGTCTTTGTAACAATATAATTAGTCCTAGGAGATTCATGAGTGTTTTTATTTGTTTCTTTTTTCTACTGCATGGTAAATGTTACCATGCAACTAGCCAGTATACTACATTTTGAATCTTAAATTGAGCTAAATATAATAGGAAAAAGCCAACCAATCTGTACATCAATAGATAAATCTTACTAAGCTTATATAGTACTTAAGAAATGCATTTCATACAGAAAAAAAAAAAAGTAGCTTTTGTATTTCCTCAGGTAATCACTTCAGTTTGAACATTTTGCTGGAGATGTTAATACAGCTTGTGCTTCGTTACTTCCACCCAAAGTTGGTAATAAGAGCAGAAAAAGTCCTACACAATAAAATCTGTGCATAAAGTATAACTAAGTGTAGCTGAGAGATCTTGAATTTTGTCTCTTTAAGTAAAAAAAATGCAGAAGGAACTTAAGGAATTTAAGACATCTACTGAAAGCAGGACTGAAGTAAACTTGCAGTCGAGTAAAAACAGTTTGTAGGAACTTGATATTTGTCACAAACCAACACGTTTTACCTTGAAGTTCATATACGTTTATATACTAATTGAAGTTCCAGTTCTGCTGCTCAGTGCACGTGAGTGAAAACTTAAGGCTTCTTGGAAATCATTTGAAGCCATAGTGAGTTGTTCAGATCAGATGGCAGAGTAGGGACTAAGTATTCAGTTCTGTGAACACTTAGATGGGTAGCTTATAACATGGATGGTAGCACCGAAGCTGGTGGGATAGTTCATGCTAACATGTTAACATACTAGAAATGTTTTTCAGGACAGAGTCCTTTTTATTATTATTTTTAGATGCTGGCGTGATGCTCCAATATTTTTTTCTTTAAAACTCATAAGTATTGGTTTAATACAATCTTTAATTAAAGTGACTTTACTTGACAAAAGGAGAATTTCATCCTTCTTTCTGCAACAAGAATAATTTAAGATTAAGGGACAATAAGCCAGTGCAACCACTAAGCCTTTATCCTCATATGAGGCATAATAAAGATACTGAAATTGTCATGGTATAAAATCATTTTTTTGGCTTAGCTTAATTTGACAGT